CACACACACACCCCTCAGAGGACACCTTCTTGTTCTACGCTACTAGAGGATGTGTAGATTTAAGTCCAGTCCAAACTGCCATATAGAGTGACAAGGCCAGGTAAAGGTGATCGTGGGCCAGATGGAGCAGGGAGAGCTGATTTGGTATGCAGCACACCTGCCTGGACGGGCCAGGCACTCTCTCTGCTGGAAGGAAGACCTGTCTGACATGCCGGAGACTGGTGCTCGTTCACCACCCAGGGCCTGGCCTGGGGGTGGCGGTCCGGCTGGTGAAAGGAGATAGTGTGACGTCTTCAGAGGCCCAGGCAGGTGTGGCATCGGGAAAGCCTGGCAGGTGGTAGGCGGCGTGGCCCTGCCTGGCTCCTGTGCTGGGGTTTAGAGAAGACGCTGGGGCTAGAGGAAGCAGGATGCCAGGAAGCTCGCAAGGCCAGAAACAGGGTCTGGAAGAACATGGCGGAGAACTAGCTCTAAGAACTGGGCGGCACCCCCGCTCTGGGCCTCTCGGCACCCTGGGCCTAGTTGACACATTGTGTCATTCTACTGTTACCCCTGTCAGCCCCACTGGCGATGCCGCCTTACTTATCTGTGTGCCCCTGGTCCCTAGCGGAAGGCATGCACATGGTAGGTGCTCAGTAAACATATACTGATGAGCAGAGGACCTGACCTGGAGTTCCCCGTGTGGTGTACCTGGACTCCTGGCTGAGCACTAGCCTGACCCCGAGCCTGGGTGAGGTGTGGGGCCGAGAACCAGGCAGGTACCAGGACTCACGGTTCTCTGGACCGGTTGTGACTGTCGTGGTTTTTAGAAGTACGAGGACACAGGAAGGACATCGCGTTTGTTTAATCAATAATAAGAGAAAAATAAACTAACGCTTGTGTTTAGGGGGCTCAGCAAATAAATGTGGCTTACTTCAGTGTTGGATTCAGGGCTCAGTGCAAGTTGTCTCTCCCCAGGGAGTGATTTTTACACAAGTTTTGCCACCCAGAGGAACGATGTCACTTACACGTCCCTCCTCAGTTTCAAGTCAGAGCCCAGGGCCCCAGAGGGCTCCTCTGTCACGTGGCCTGGTGCCTGCAGGCAGAGAGGGAGGTCTGCAGACTGGGACCGCTGGGTGACAGGACCACCACCACAATCTCTGTCTCCAGTCCCAGCCCCTAGGCCATTTGGGTGGCAAAGATGTAGATCCCTAACTCAGGCTCTAACTGTGCCGTTCATGTTTGCAGGGAGATTTAATCCCTGACCGCTGTGACCTTCTTTCTCTTCCTTCTGCTCTAAAAACAGAACAACGCTGAATCGGTTTTTGTTAGGGTGAAATAAGAGAGAAGAGATGCACTAAGAAGGTGTGGCCGAGACTGGCCACCTGCTCCTTAGAGCTGCTTCCTCTTGGGAGAACTCTGGCCGCATGGTCCAGCCTCTCTGCAGTTAGGTGTGGCCTTGTGGTTGCGTTTTAGCCAAGGAAGCGGGAGTCAGAGTAAGGCAGGCTGCTCCCCGGACTAACGCCAGACCCCTCCCATGTGACCCTCCGTGAGCACCGCGAAAAAATACAGTTGAACCTTGAACGACCTAGGGGTTAGGAATGTCGACCCCCGTGCAGTTTAAATCCACGTGGATCTTTTGACTCCCCCCCAAAACGTGACTGCTAATAGCCTATTATTGACAAGAAGCCTTACCAATAACATAAACAGTCAATTCACAGATACGTTGTATGGTATATGTATTAGATAGTCTAATCTCGCAATAAGGAAAGCGAGAGAAAAGAAAATGCTATGAAGAAAATCGTAAGGAAGAAACAATGCATGTATAGTCTTGACTGAAAAAATCCACGTCTATGTGGACTGTGTAGTTCAAGGGTCAACTATGATCCCCCAACAAGGACCATCCGGAGAAGCTATGGCGTCACTCAGTTTCGTCGCCTCAATGATAAACAGGGTTTGGAGGTGTCCAGAGGCGGAAAGGAGGCGATTAGGGCCTGGGATGGCAACTGGAGACAGCCTTCGAGGCTGAGAGAACCAGGAGGGAAACCGTCATCCTCTGTTTGGCCTCCACCCAGAGCGAGAAGGGGTCACCAGCCAGGCGAGGCGTCCCCGGGAGCCATGTTGGCAGGAGCAGAGGAGCCTCTGATTGTCGGTGGCTCTTTATCTCCCGCAGCAGGCTGCTCTGCACCCGTTGGCTGTGGGAATAGCAGCAGTTCCCCTGGGTCCTGGGCGGCCCTAGAAAACATGTCCTTGTCATGTGAACACACAGGAGAAAAAAGCCTGCAATCCTCACGTTATACGTCCGCTCTGACTTTTCGCTTATCCTTAGCTATATTGAATTAGCTGGAGATTTACAATTATGTGTTCAGAATATTATGTTTTGTTCCTGAAATAGAGGTACTAGAAGTTCCCACGATAGAAACTGGATGTAATTTTTCCTTAGAAGCAATATAATAGGATGATTCTAGCCAAGAACGGATACGCTATTTATAGAAATGATGAGAAATTGCATAGTAACCAGCATGTCGGTGACAGAAGATATCTACCCTGACACAGTGTAAAGCTTTATGAGGTGTCTGTAAATCAGTCAAGTAGGACAATGCAGTAACCAATCTCATTAAATCTCTAAAAAATGTATGTGAGAGGTCCCCTGGGGTGAGGAGCCCAGAGCCCCACTGGCCGGGGGCGGCAGCAGACACTGCAGTATGCTGGCGGGCGTTGTCAGAGCAGATCATTTGGGTCATGTCAGTCCGAGGCTGATTGGAGACCACGGCCACCAGGATCCTGGGCACCTTGGATTAGGGTAGACTGTGAAACAGTCTATCCAAGGGCTTTAGAACACTGGGTCAACCCGTGGTCAAACAGGCCCCTATGCACAGATGACAGTCTTTTGTTCTCTGGGCCTAGATGTGCATAGTGGCTGAGCCTGGCCTTCACTGAAAGCTAAATCTTGGGATCACAAGAGGCCAAAATCAAAGGCCTCAGGCCATTTGTAACCCTCCTCTCCCCCCGACCAGCCTCTCCACACAATGTTGTCTTCACGAAATGGAAAACCAAGGACCCTCGTAAAGAGCCCTGGGACATCCAAATGACATCAACTTGGCGTGAAGAGACATGTGGCCGCTTCTTTCTCTCTGTCATGCACATTCCCTTTTCCACCAAACTCTAGCGGGACGTCAGCGGGCTTTGTGCTCCTCGCCCCCATACCGATGGATTTTGCCGTGAAGGGGGGTGAGGAAAAGCACAGCTGGCATTCCTCAGGGACGGCCTGTGGCTCGCAGAGAGCAGTTACACTACAGTGGCACCCAACAGCGCAGCGTCAACCTCGTACTTCTTGCGATCGCAAAATCCCAAAGGAGAAGAAAACAACGTGAGACTCATTGATTCAGGTTCATCCAACAGATTTCCTCAGCCCTTCCAGAACATACTCACGACAACGGTTTGATTTACTTGGGAGCATGAATAGTAAATACTGTGAGAAGGCACAGGCCCGGAACTGTGGGGGTTTTTTGTTAAATTTCTGTCCAAATGATGACAATTACATATGTATAATTTATGAAGCAGTTTTACACTGAGACCTTGATCTCTTGTAGACACGATTTCCTGATCCATAGGCCAGTGGGATCATGGGATATGATTGGCTGCAAGGAGGCTTGATTGAACAAGTGCTCAGCCCAGTGCAGAGCTGTGCTGCGGGCCCAGGAGGACCTCCAGCCGGCGTGAGCAGGAGACGGTGCCCTTTCCAGGGGCTGGGAACTGTGGACATGGAGTCGGTCATTTTCACTGGGGTTTCTTGCTCCAGCCTCTAGGATTTTTGGAAACCTGGGAAAAGTATGTATGGGGTATTGAAAGGAGCCTGGGAGGCCCCCCACCACTCCCTCCCCACCGCTCCCCAACTGAGCAGGGTGACAGACACAGATCAAGGGCCGTCACCAGGTTGGGGCCACAAAATAACCGTCAAGGAAAAGCATCAGAAACGATACAGGCAGCTCGCAGGGCAGTCCCAGTGCTGACGGCCTCTGCAGGACAGACGCGCAGGTGTATGGGGGAGGGGGCGTGTGGGGAGTCATGACGGGCTGCGGCACGTATATATCGGATATATATATATATCGGTTCCAGCACGCCTGTGCTAGCTGTCTTCACAATTTCCAAGTTGGCCTTTTCGGTATCAACTAGTAGTTGAAATGAGAGGGAAGTAGGAACTGGACTGCCCAGGAATAAGAGGAAAAGAGAACTTTTGCATCTAATCTGGATTATGAAGGATTTTAGGTCCTGTAGGAGGCCATGTTTCTTTGACTCTCTAAGCATGAATTTAGTTACTCTCAGACTGGCCTTTTCTTTAGTATTCTCCCCCCACCCCCACCCCCAGGGGCTCTCACCTTTAGCATGGTCCGCATGTGGCTTCTGGCCCCAACTCTCTTTCTTCCAGGATGATGGAAGAACCAGAAGAGACTGTAGGTGTTGGGAAGGGGGCACAGGGCCAGCCATGCAGTCAGGCCAAGGAATCAGAAATCATCCTGCTGAGACTGGCGTTCTCACCCCCACCCCCTACCCCCCAACAAACCCCTGTTCCCTGTCCCAGTACATAAAACCCCAGGTTAGCATAGCACATGCGCCTCGATCCAGACAGACGTTAGGGCACCTCAACCCAAGACAGTGTCACACCAAGGGGAGAGTCCATCCGGGTCAGGAGAACATGGGGGAGGAAACTGGGGGCTTGGAGGGGTTAGCTGTTCTGGGCAGACGCCCTCTCCTCGTCAGTAGGTAGGCCTTCTGGGGCAGGAGCCAGCAGTCCTTGCTTCTCCTGAGGTGTGCCTTGTGCTTCGGCCATGACAGGCATGGTTCCTCAGGGAGAACTTTGCAGGACACTTCACCCATGTGGAAGGGAGACTCTGTGGCTTTGGACGCTGACCTGAGTTCCTCATCTCAGTAGCCAAGGCCCCCCAGGCTCAGAGCTGCGGTGACCCTGCCGGCCGGCATGTGGGCCCTGGGCATTGTGACCTCAGCTGTTCCGCACACCAAGAGGTGGTCATCCTGCCCTTGCCTTGGCCTGTAATCTGCATAGGACAGTGGCCTGGTCACAGGGGCCCATCGTGGGGAGGTTGGGAACTTGAGAACACTCTGGCCTCCTCCATCATGTCGGCCAAGAGGGCAGAACTGAAGAAAACGAACCTGGTAAAGGGGAGACGTAGCTGGACGCTGAGTAGAGATGCAGGGCGGGAGCGGGGACGTAGAGGGTGCCTTGATGAATCCTTGGCTTTCCTTTCTCTGTTCTGAGCACGGAGTGGCCTGTCAGGCTGGAAGTGGGGTGGGATGGATCGCTGGCCTTGGGGTGGGACAGGGAACACATAATGCCCCCTCTCCCTTGACCACTCCAGGAGCCGTGACCCCGTGCCAGGCCTGCGCCAAGCCCACATCTAAGGTGTACAATAACCTTATTATATAAATGTAATTTTCACCCCCATTTTACAGAAGAGGAAATGGAGGCTCAGAGAGGCTAAATAACTTGCCCAAGTTGACATGGCTCGTAGGAGGACAGCTGAGATTAGAACCCCAGCCCGTGCTCCTGAAGTAACACTGGCCCAGGTTCCTTAGAGCGCGTGCCCGCCCAGGTACCCCGGCAGCGAGGGGCTGCCTGCCGGATGGGCATGCGGATGCCCCTAGCAGGTGTATAACAACGTAACAGAATTTGAGCTGTTTTGAATCAGAAGCTGGGGAATGTGCGGTCCTGAGCTCACGCACAGTCGGACAGGCAGGGTGGGGTAGAGGGTTCTGCAAGGGCCAGGTGTCAGCCTCCCCAGGCCCGATGCCCGACAGGCCGAATCCCAACCTCCTCTCTCTACAGAACAAGAACTACAAGGCAGTTTGCCTGGAATTGAAGCCAGAACCCATCAAAGTAAGAAGCTATTTTGAGGCCACGATGATATCCAGGCCTGAGACTCGTGGGGAGGTGACCTGGAGTCAGGGGTCATTCGCTATGGCTGGTGGCCAAGACCTGTCCCAGGTGCTGGGGGTACATTGAGAGACACATAAGCTCTCTAATCTCATAGAATGTCGCATTAGTAACTAATCAGATACATACATGAATAAGGAAAAATTCCGTAGGGTTACCTGCTATGCAGAGAATTAAACCAGGGAGACATGACTGGGGGGCTGCTGTAGACCAGGCGTCAGGAAAGGCCTTTATCTGGGCTGAGAGCTGAACGATTAGGCTCCAGCCACTCAAAGCCTGAGCCGACACTGAGGCTGGTGGAAACGGCATGCACAGGGGCCCGAGGCGGGAATGAGCTTGGCCGTTCAGGGACAGAGAGCTGAGGCCCAGTGGGCCAGGAGGGGACTGGGACAGGGCGAGCACAGAGAGAATAGAAGGATGGAGGAAACTGCTGTGCGGGTAGATGGGGCCACCAGCTCTCACCTGTTCGCTCTGGCCAGAAGGGAGGAACAGAAACTCAGGATGATCTCTCCTGCCTTACTGACCACACACCTGCAGTTTCCAATACTCTGTGTTTCTGGTTTCAATCAACAGACATATGACTATAAAAGAGTTAAACCAGAAGGGCCATTTACCAAACCAGGAGGGACAAGGGGGCTAAAGGTAGGCGTTCCTTGGGATCCAGGGGGCAGGGGTGGGGTCAGCCCAGTGAAGAGGTGGTGGGGGAGGGGTGGTGAGCTAAACAGCTTCCAAGGCAAGTATGGCTGTGCTTCAGCCCTGTGACTTCCTTCCCTCCAGTTCTTTTTGCTTGTTTTAACTAGTTTGAAACAGTTTCAAACTTATAGAAAAGTTTCCAAAAATGACACAATGAATTTGCCCAGATTCCCCAAACGTTGACATTTTCTCATGGTCCTCTCCCTCTCTCTCAATACATAGATATTCACACATACATCTCTA